ACACCAAATACACAAAATAATGTTCTTTTTAGCAGCATCATATGACCCCTTTAAGAGTTGTGCGTCAGATTAAAAAAGTGCACCAGAAGAAAAAACAGCCATAAAAATATTATAATATATATATAATAATACAATATATATATATATATATATATATATATATATATATAAATGCATATGATGTTTCCCACTTTCACTGACATTAACCATTTAAATGCTAGTTTATTAGGAATTATTACAGTCTTGGATAAATCAGTGATTAGAAACAACATTGATTTTGATGAAGTATTGTTTTAATTAATGAATGAATTATTACATTTTTTTATGCAGTGTCAATTTTTAAAAAAACTACGATTCACACACGCACAAATTTCTCAACAAACACATACAACCACACTCTGATATACTGTACATACCACCACACAATTATAATTACATCATTTTAATTTACACAGAAAAAAGCCAGTTATTTGCTCCACAGACCAAACCTGAGAATATGGTGCTATCAGCAGGTGGAAAATAGGAATGAATTAATACATTACATACATACATACATACAAATTTTGAAGCTTTGATAACCAAATTAAAGCCTTTAACAAAGAATGCATGGTTTTATGCTTAAATGGCATTGGCATTAATTATTGCAGTTTCAATGGGTGTCAGTTTGGGCATTTTTGTTTTTAAGATCCCGAGAGTAACTATTATTTATTTATTGTTTTACCTTGTGTAAAACACATTTATGAAAAGCAATAAGGGTGTATTAGACAAATGGTTTATTAATTGTATAGCTAAGGATTAGGAAACAAGAGTTCACTTATTCTTATTCTCAATCTTATTCTCTATGACAGTGTTTACCACTTGGCCAAACTCTCTCCGATTTGTCCATTAAGGGGAAACATTGCATTGAGAATTCATTTATATTCAGCAGGTAGCTTTATTAATTAGTGAATGAATTAATACATTATTGAATAAATAAATAAATATTAACTTTTGAAATGAAAATCTATTTAATTTATAAATATTATTTATTCTTTTATTTGGAAAGTAGGGGAAGAAACAGGAAAGAGGAGACAGTCATGACCAGATTAAGAGTAGAGATGAAATGGAGAGAGGACATGATGAAAGAAATGGGAAGCATAGGAATAACAGAGGAACATAAACAAGGCAGGAAAAAGCTGCACTTTTCCTAATAAAACCCGCATTAATCGTTCGAATATGGCACGCTGCTTTGTGTAGGAGTTAATGAACTCCAGAAGATGGCAGTACCGCAGCATTACGGATGCGAGCCGCCGGTAAACTCCAACGAAGAAGAAGAACTAGAAGAACGACGAGAATTTTCCCCTCAGTGTTGATGTTGGAGTCTAGGCTGCGATGAGCGAGTTTGTAAAACCAGGTAAGAGTGTATAGAACTAATATTACATGTTTATAAAACATGTCATGTAAATCTTCCGTATGAAGTGTGATGTTCGTGTGAGTAAACGGCAGCAGAAGTTCATGTCGCTCTCATTCATTCCCGGATACATTCATTTGGAAGTTTTCTTGACATTTAAACGATGACTGTAGCTATGACTAATGGAGAAAAACCGCGATAGAACAATAACAAACCCAATACTAATTGGCTATCAAAGAAATGAGTGTTTTATGTTTGACAGCTCATGTTCTGGGACGTGGCAGCTAAAGTTACTGGTGTAGGTGCATTAAACACAACGACGAGACTGGACATACACTTCTACTAACGCTACATCTCCAGCAGGGTTGTCAGGTCATTAAAACAAAAAACACCAGGCTAACCAGCCCAATACATTTCGGCGACTCCCACCCAGGATATAAGAAAACTGGTGCTTTTAACTCCTTTTAATGTTGCATTTAAAATGCATTTTGCCCTCTATATATTTCAGTCCAAGGAAAATACATTCTAGTGTAGCATTTGTTTTACAATGTTCCATAAATAAATAAATAAAATTAAAATATACAATGTTAAAATATATATATATAAAAGTAAATAAATAAAATATTTAAAAACATCTAAATTAAATAATTTTGACCTCTAGTAGACTATTCCCTCCATATTTGCCTTTTGCCTAAATGTAGGCTAAGTTTTTTTTTTTGCCCCTGAAATACATTTTTGATTGGTTTTACATTGACGTATGGTTTGTTATGATAGGACAATATCATAGATATTGGCTGAGATACAACTACAGTATTTGAAAACCTGGAATCGGAGGGTGCAAAAAAATCGAAATTCTGAGAAAATCGCCTTTAAAGTTGTTCAAATGAAGTCCTTAGCTATGCATATTACTAATCAAAAATTAAGTTTTGATATATTTACGGTAGGAAATTAACCAAAATATCTTCATGGAACATGATCTTTACTTGATGTCCTAATGATTTTTGTCATAAAAGAAAAATCGATAATTTTGACCCATACAATGTATTGTTGGCTATTGCTACAAATATACCCCAGCGACTTAAGACTGCTTTTGTGCTCCAGGGTCACATTTATGTTTAAAATACATTTTGACCAGATTATTTTCCTCTGTATGGGCTTTCATACCCAGCTACAGTAACAATTTGTTTCCCAGAACGATATGATTTGGTTCACAAAACATAAAGCGTTCACGTCATCTCATAATTACAGTAATTCGGTTGGAGCAAAATTAAGGTTTGAATTATTTTACAGTAGGAAATTTACAAAATATCTTCATGGAACATGATCTTTACTTGATGTCCTAATGATTTTTGTCATAAAAGAAAAATCGATAATTTTGACCCATACAATGTATTGTTGGCTATTGCTACAAATATACCCCAGCGACTTAAGACTGCTTTTGTGCTCCAGGGTCACATTTATGTTTAAAATACATTTTGACCAGATTATTTTCCTCTGTATGGGCTTTCATACCCAGCTACAGTAACAATTTGTTTCCCAGAACGATATGATTTGGTTCACAAAACATAAAGCGTTCACGTCATCTCATAATTACAGTAATTCGGTTGGAGCTCTCAGAAAGTTCTGAGTAATAAACTGTCATTATTATCTTTTGGCAACCCATAGAATCTTTCACAGGAAAATGGCAAAATTTGGCACTTTTGGGGTCGTCCTGTACTTAAACTCTGAGTGTGTCTGAAAGGGCATACTCTCTGAGCAGGTACTTCTTTGGAATAAGTTAATTACTCTGCGACAGTTAAAAAAAGTACATGAATGTAATTTGCACATACTACATTAGTCTTGTTGTCATTGTAATGTATAAGAAAAAAAGTGATTTTACACACATTACACCTTCCAGTTGGAAGCATAAATGTGCTTAGGATCAGTATCACATTTTCACTCTGTTGTCTACAATTGTCTACAGTCAAACCTTTGTGATCACGGTGTTTGGGCCTAAGAGAAATAACTTCTAGATTGAGTCAAGAAAACTCTAAAGACCTTATCATCACCTTGCACACCTTTAGAAAACGTAGATGGCTAGATACGGTATGCACAGATCCGCACTCACACATAATGTTGCTTTCTGCGCAGGTAATCAGGAGCACGGGTGGAACGACCCACCGCAGTTTTCATATGGCTCGCAGAAGGATTCGGGTGGACCAAAGCGAAATATCCTCAATAAGAGGGTGCATGCACCCCAATTCACAGGTCATCCCACTGTTAAATGTTATCTACATCTATCTTGAATCATCTATTTACTGTACATGTTTGCAGCAAATGACAAAATGCATTTTTGGCAAACTGTTCTACTGTATGGACTGTATTTTCTTGATTAAGAAATGAAACTAATTCATCACAAAGTTGTCTGGTTAATCATGATGAGTTGGTTGCTTTTTTGTTTTCCATCATATTACCTCTATTAATTTGTATCGCAGAACCACCAGGTTTTTAATTTTCCTTGCTTTACTAAGTGTTATTAATGTATTATTGACATCCTAGGTACATGTACATGTGCAGATCAGACGGACGCCCCTAGGACGAGTTCAAAAACATGAATGTGGCGGAAATTTTTCTTCTGAAATGTTTAAGCATATGACCATTTAAACTCTGGAGAAGTCAGAGGATTTTTTTTCTAATTCAGAATAATAGCAAAAATGTAAATTAGCTTCTTATATGGCCTCCTTATGGGTGAATTTTGAATTAGAAAAAATGTTAGCATCTGTAAAGAAAATGCATATTAAATATTAAATCTGCAAGTGTAAAGACGAAAAAAAGAGATGCAAAAAATTTAATGTGACGTTCTGTGACGTTACAGCACTATAACACAAATTTATAAATGAATTCTAAATGGTTTATTTCCTCGCTGTAGGTTCTGGATCAGAGATGCAATCCCCACCAGTGGCGATGCCAACGCCGCCCCGGGGAATGAATCCTCCTCCAATGGACAGCAGCACCCCACCCTCTGTATGTCCCAAAACTCCCTCAGACGGAAAGATGGAGGCGGTAGAGCTGGAGACAGAGCCATCCGTTGAGGATGTGCAAGAACCACTTTATGGAGCGCTGAACGCATGCAGACATACTGTAAAGGTAAGGTCAATGTTGAAACTGGTTGAAAATAAAGTTCAAGAGCCTGTAAGTTTCAACCAGTGGGAAACAGACATAATGAAAAAAAGCATTATGACATGAAACAAGCAAGAAATATTTATGGTTTTGCACAGTTTCAGAATAAGGAAAAAGCAACACATTTTACACTAAGGATTTTATTGCGAATAAATGGAACCAGGGTTGTTATAATTTAACTAAATCTAAAACCTTAATGTTAACAATGCAACATTCCTCACTTTCATTTCATTTAAATTGATGTACTAAAATAACAAAAAATATGTATAAAATAAGATATTTAAAAACAACTAATAAATAAATAAAATGACAAAATCACACAATAGATTTACTAAGATTTTAACTAAACTTAACAAAAGCAGAAAACATAAAAATGTAAATCAAAAACATTAACAAAAACTGTAATAGTATCTCAATGATAATATGTAACACTAAGGTTACGTTTACACGACAACGATGTAGTCAAAAACGGAAACGATTTTCCCTTGCGTTTTTAAAAATTTCACGTATACACTACAACGTTTTCAAAACGATTCGCGTTTACACATATCTGCGAAAACAACCAAAAACGCTGTATTACGTATGCCAGGCCAGTAGTTGGCGCTGTCACCTTGTTACTAAACAGTACCTGTAGGGAAGTGACGATTATATGTTGTATATGATGCGTCTCCGCTGTTGGTTGTAATATTGGTAAATCCACACTTTGCTGAAGAAGCGTTAGCAAACTCTTGAGCAGCAACAACAGTACCAAGTACTCCGCCAATGTTGTGTATGTTTGTTCGTGCTTGCCTTTAAAATCGACACGTACTGCGCATGTCTAAATACCTAACACGTACTACGCACGCACATGACGTCACCGTTTTCAAAGATTCCCGTATTGGGTGTTTACACGGAAACGATAACGGTGGCATTTTCAAAAACTTGCACTTTGAAACCCGTTTTCAAAAATATGCGTTTTTGGTCCCCAAAACGCTATTGTCGTGTAAATGAACAGTCAAAACGCATAAAAAGTTTCCCGTTTTTGGCTGAAAACGTCGTGTAAATGGCCCCTAAATAGAGCTAATGGATCAAACTACATAACACACAAACATACAAATTCTCACACCTTGTAATAGGTCCAAACCTTATAAAAAATATTATAATTATTAGAGCTTTTTTTTTCTTCTTGTCATTATATTTATTTTGACTTGTGAGAAATGGACATTTATGTTCCTGTTGTCACCTTGTGTGTCATTGTTTTTTTTAGAAACAGATTTGTGATGATGTGGAAAGACGTCTGAATCTTTTTGAGGACATGTGGAAAAGTGGAAAACTTTCTCCTTTGGTTAAACATAGGATGCATAGATTGTCCCAAGGTGAGTCTTTTTCAGTCTTCAGAGTGTCTTTCACACGCACTGGTTCTGTCATAAAGTATTGCAAAAGGAGTTTGTATGTCACTATACATCTTACATCAGACCAGAATATAAGTGTTGCCACTAAGCATCTTGAGTATCAGAGGAAAAGCCCCTTTAAATTGAGTGTGTTTCACAGAGAGTGAAAATGAGGATGGAAAATTTTATAAACTAACCTTGAGAAACATAATAATCTGATTCTGCATTTCCTGATCCCTTTACGTTTTGCCAGTTACATGCAGCTTTAAAGGGGTCATATGATGCGATTTCAATTGTTCCTTTCTCTTTAGAAAATAACCATCTGATTTTTAATCAGCACATAAATGTATATACATGCACAAAACTTTATGGAACTTCTTCAGTTTGCTTGATATCAACATGCAAGTGACGCAGATCATGTGAAGCACATCTTTTTGTTTTAAAACACAAAGTAACAGTGACGTGACTGATGTATGCAATCAGGAAATCTGAGACTCTCAAGAACTGGTCACATGAGAAGCATTTTAGAGTCATGTTACTCCCAGCGATCTGTCCTGCTTGACTGCTTGTCAGATCCTAGAAGGATCTTGAAGGGATAGTTCAACCAAAAGTGAAAATTTGCTGTTAATATACTTGTCATCTAAGATGTAGGTGATTTTTGTTGTTGTTGTTGTTTAGAAGAACAGTAAAAAGATGTTTAGCTGAAACTGTGGGCCTTGGTGCTTTATAATATGCAAGTTTACAGCTGCCAGCACTGTAAGAGTCAAAAAAAGCATATGCAGGCAAGAATAAAAAATACACGTGGCTCCTGATGATATATTTTGTGGTATTATGAAGCGAAACAATCTGTCTGTGCAAGAAACTGAACATTATTTACAACATTATTACCTGTAATCCAGAGAGAAAAACATGCTAGATGTGCTTTGTTGCAGACCTGAAAAGAAAAAATTGGGATGCAGCTGATGAGATCCACAGAGGCCTGATGGTGGACCATGTTTCTGAAGTCAGTCAGTGGATGGTGGGAGTCAAGCGTCTCATCGCTGAAGCTCGGAGCCTGAACCCAGAACAAAACGACTGCACTGATCCAGGCTCATGAGGACTGTACGATGTCCATTCCTTTGAAAACCCATGCTGCATTATAGAAGTTGCCAAAGTGATTTGTGTTAACTTATGTAAAGTTTTGTATAATCCACCTTTAAAAATGTGCCCATTCCCATCTACATCATCTAATATTACTTTTTTTGTAGATCGGTGCTGGGAAAAAGTCTTTCTTTAGTCTTCATCAAAAATGGAAAATAATGTAGGTATGAAGTGTTACTACTGTATATAAAATTCTGCTTTTAAAAAGGGTGTGATTGTGAATTATTTCAGACAATTGCACAGATTATGTATATTATCTGGTATTATATATCTCAGTGGCTGTCCTTAGATCATGTTATCTTGCTGTCCATTGTGATGTGCAATAAAATAGGCAAAAAAAAAATAAAAATAACATCAAATTGTTGTAGCCCTTATAACATGCATACATTATCCATAACTCAAAACAACAAAAGTAAAAGCCTTTTTTGATGTAAATGCATTCCATGACGTGCAATAACATTTAAGCCACCACACTTAAAATGTTTAATTTTTGGTATTATATATATATACACACACACTTACTTACATATATATATATATATATATATATATATATATATGAACACTAATACAGTACTATTAAGAAGAAATACAGTTTCAGATTTTAGACCAAGTTATTAAGATAAGCAAAGAGACATTTCCTAACATCCTAACCAGTAGGTGGCACTGTTCCTAAACTGCATTGGTATATTCAGACATCAAAGAACCCATGGCACATAGGAAAGTGGAGGTTTGGCACAGATTTCAATGTGATTACTACCATTAACAAATTTAATTGGTTGAGTTTGAGTTATAGAGAGACGCTCCAAATTTAGCATGGTATAAGTTTAGACAGATGTGCTAAATTTAATAACTTTCCTCCATTGGGTTCCATAGGGTGTCGGACTTCAGACCAGGGAAAGAAAAAGAAGATGAAATATAGCTCTGAGCAGCAATTGTTGGGGCTTGAGCGCTATAGGGTATGTTTTGTAACACATTAAGCATTATACAGACAGTATGCACCAATATGAGACAATGCATGCTACATTTCAGGGCAGTCTCAGGCAATGGAGATATAACATTTTCACTGTTAACCTAGTTAATAGTGCCTACTGTTGTCTGTTTGGAAACACATTTTTCTTGCCTCCTCAGACTCGCACCTTAAACCTATATATGATGTTTTGTGAAAATTATTTATATTTCATTCAGGTGTTACAGTCTTTTGAGAATATTAGGCATACCACATCATTTAATACTGCATGCTTATTAATTTATAAGATTTCTTTCAACAACAGGAAACAAATGTATCTAGTGGAAATATTTGGTACTGCACCCAAACAAAATCTTACTGAAAGCTCATTTTTTGTGATATCAACCTCAAATTTGGAACACAACTAACCTAGATTATGGCTTTGATTGTCACATGATTTTAGACTAAAACATGTTTTGGAAAATATATTTAACATTTAAAACATTTAAAATGTAATAGTATTTTAGTGCATTCTTCATAATAAGAAATTTAAACGTCTATAACCTTTTTTATTTTTTTTGTTTTAGCAATATTCTGGCTTAAGTGGCTTCTTTAAAAAAATAGACCAAACTTAAGTCTGTACTGAAAAGCATGCCAGATTTACAACAGTTTAATTTGGAAGTTTAATTTTTAGGTCTATGCTCAAAAAGTGATTAAAAGATAATAAATGCATTATAACTATTCCAAAAATATAATTTAGTACCATGAAACAAAATATTAAATAAAATATATTATTGAACTAAAATGTAGTACATTCATTTATTTGACATTAAAAAGATTGGTCATTTTTGACTACCTCTCAACAGTACCAGAGAGTGAGTTAATATTACTCAGTACTTATTTAATTGCAATGAATAGATTTACACAACAAAACATTTGCCTGTTGTAAAAGGTGTTTTTATGCACGTTTGAGCTGACTTTTCATTGCATTTACACCATTCTAACCAGCAGACATCACCAGCATGTGGCGTTTCGAATGCTTTGAAAAAGTGAATCGTTTTGTGAAGCAATTGGTTCAGCTGATTCAAAGTTTTGAAAATTGCCAGTGAAACCCCGTTTCACGCTGACTTCAATAATAACATGCACTCCTCAAAACTTAATTGGCAACAAATACGCAATGACAACTACAACACTTCGTAAAGCACTTTTATTTATAAGCCCGGTTGCATTAGAGCCAAACTGCAAAAAGTACATTTTACTCAGAAAACAATATCGTACCCACCCACTTTTTGACAATAAAAACAGCATGCCTCAACAAAACACAGTATATACGTCAAAAACTATCAAAAGATGCTGTTAGGCCTTTCATAAACTGTGCTGAAACGATAAAGAAGACAAAAACATCAAAGAGGCCACAAAGCAACTCACTTTCAGTAGCCGTTTACAATGAACCACGTTACGAGAAGACATAGAAAAGGTTTCCATGCATTTGATTTCTTTCAATTCTAAATGTCTTTCTAAGGAGATAAATAATGAGGAAAAAGAAGAGGAAAACTTTGGTTCTGTATAATGACAATTGAATATTAATTCAATATTAAGAACGGATCTTTGTTAAATGTGCCACAAGTAGCCTGAAAGTGTTTCAATAGAACCAGAAAAAGAATAGCAAAGTTTACAGTTGGTTGTCTGTTGACGGCAGTGATCACACGACCCAACCGGATGAAGAGCAGCTTTTATACAGCCATGGCAAAATGTTTGATAAGCAAAAAATCATGCATACAATCATCACGTTAACATTCTTGCTTTACAAAATAAATACTAAGAATCAAGAAGCAATATTTGACAAATCCGACTAAGCTCATACTGTTTTACTAATAAAAATGTAACTGGTTTAGTAAATCTGAACACGCATTATATAAGATGCAAAAAACATTTTAATATACCTTACAAATGTTTAGATAAGACAGAGATGGATCTGAATAGCAGTCACTCTGCAGATAACAGATATTCACCAGCAATAGTCTGAATACAATATCAACAAGTTCAAATGCTAGGTCTTTTTGAGCATCACTATATAGAGTTAGCAGTGTCCACGTTCTCGTTTGAATAACTTTGATTGTTCGCGTTAATATGAATGTACATTGGTTGACCGTCACAGTAAGACTGATCAAGCAAATAGAGCATCTTAAAAAGACATCAGTAGATAAACACGTCAACACTGATTATTGAAAGCTCTCTCTCCAGCAACACGCTTCCATTGAATTTGAATAGAAGTTAAGCCCAGACATCAAACACACCCTCAAGAGCTTTTTCAAGAGACTTCCTTTTGCAATAAAAAGAAAAAATCCCTGAATCCTAAATACAAAAGGAAGAACAAATACACCAGCTCTACTGGAAGAACTTTATCAAAGTGCTCTGAGCACACCACACCAGACCCGGATCTCAAAACCCTGTACGGCAGAAAGAAATATCAAGCTCTCGCATGCATTTACTGTTCCACTGCCACCATCAGCACCGGCTTTAACTTTAAGCAACAGTTCGTTGAGTGGGTTGCTCAGCCCCCTTGATCCATCTGTTCTTGCAGTGCGGATCATGTGGGTTCAATAGATTGTGTGTGTGTTTTTTGTGCCATAGATGCAGCTTTGATTTCAAGGGCTAAACGTATACTGAAATTCACTGCTGTTCAATGTGCTTCACTAAACTCGGTAGAAAATGTTCAATGGCGATTGTCTGGAAATCGGGCAGTGGAGGACAAGCTGTGTAAGTCATTACTATATTCTTACCTAGCAGTTCTACTTTATTTCAAATATATAAACATCCATTTCAATCAGATTACATTCGAGTTTATTACAGGTGTATAAGAGAGATTAAAAGACTAGTTAATGTCTAACCGTTGGGAGAGAAAAAAATCTAGGTATCCGTGGAAACCCCTAGGAAACAGGATCTCTTTTGGAATGTAGCTGTTGTCCCAAATATCTCATTTGTGTCAAATATCTGCAAATGTAGCACTTATGGTCAAAAACATGGTGGCTAATTTTGTAAACATAATCAAGATGTTAAAAACAAAAGCATTGATACCACGCAGCAGGGTTGCAACAGCGGCTTCATCATAGTTTATCCATAAAGAAGTGTTCTGAGCAATGAGAATAAATGCTAATGTGAATGTGATGACACTGTAAACAGAGGGCCAATGAAGTTCAAGGAATGAGATGAGAAGCTGGGAGCTTGTACATCCTCAAGCCAGTGATCCTGCAACTCTGGTATTTTCAACTAAGATGGAAAAAGAAAGTAAGGTCAGTATGCAAAATGTTACAGAGCAAGTCTAAAGATGAATATTTTTTACGAATATAATTCAACACAAACACTGCCACACAGATTTTGATAACTGGACAGCTAAATAAAATGTGTGGCGTGCCAAAGAAGTAGACTAAGGGGTAATGTGGGTGCAGATGTGAGGTACATTCATATTTCTGAAATATTCAACTAATATTTGCCATGGAGAATCTATGCCTACACAGAAGTAAGCCCTGTCTAGGCGCTGCCAGTCCAGTTTGTGTCAAGCTATTTGTTAGTCTCTTAGTAAGAGAAAGATTAAATTTAGTTGCAATAAATGCTTTAACTATAGCATCAGATGACTGTTATTCTGTAGCGTGGAATTGAAGGAGACATGACGATGGCACCATTTGATCTTTGCTTGACCAATCAGTAGAAAGTTCCAGATCACATGGAAATCAAAAATCCAAGCTATTTATCCATTTCTACCCCTGGGTGTAAAAACGAAAAATCAAGACGAATTCTTGGACCAATGTAGCCTAGTCATGTAATGGATTTTGTACTACATGAAAAATGATCCACAGTTTAGCCAACACGGTGAAGAGTTTAGAAAAAAGTGACAAAAGTATTGAAAAAAAACAACAACAATTTTTGTCCCAGCAATTGCAAAAAGCTGTAGTCTTAATGTAAATTTGTTATGTAAAATAGTATAACATTTTAAGAAATATGGTTCTCTCATGACAACTCTCGGAGTACCGAGACTTGCTACTGCCAATACATCCACAACATGCTGCTGTGAGCATGTAAGAAATATTGCTGCTGCAAATATAACACATGAAATAACCCCCATATAGCATACATGAATCACCTCGTAGCAGATCTATACAGGTGGAGCTGGGGAAAGTGGAGGGTTTCTGAAGCAAGCTGCAACTGCTCATATAGCACTAATCATATATTTGAATGTTGAGCAGCGAGCTCATTGGCTACCGATACAGGAGAGAACCAATCAGCAGTGCCATGTGATAATGATGTCATTAGGTCAGATTGAGTTAGACCTATCAGACTGCGCCATCTAGAGTTTCATGCCAGAACTCTGGATTTACATTTATTGATTCTTGAATCTGCCTCTGCAATCATCAAATTCACGTATAATAATAAACAATAATAATTCAGTTTTAGATTTG